AACCGGTTAATCAGTTAATAAAGTTAACCGGTTAACCGTTTCTAAAATTAATCGGTTAACCGGTTAACTCTTAATTTCAACGGTTAATTAACCGGTTAAAGAATTTTTGCGCGGTGCCAACCTCTAGTTGCGTGCATGATTTTCATTGGTTAATTTCACTTGACCAATGATCGGATTTTTATCTATGCTGACCTGAACTATGTTTGATGATCAACCATTGTGACCAACCCATTAAATTACCCTTCTAATTTTCAAAAAAAAAAAGGATGTTAAACAAATAATTAAATTTGAATGGTCGTATTATCATAAGTAAGAATACTCAAGATATGAAAGCAGTATTTTGATTATAGGAGGGTATGTGAATGCCTAGAGATGAATAATCTCAATTCAGACATTCTCAATATGTATAGAAATTAATTCTTTTCCACATTAACTTGCATATTCAGTGGTTGATTTTGTCAAGGTAATTATTATTTAGTCTACAGTTAAATGATGAATTATTGTTATGCAACCATAAAAAAAAAAATCAACATAAACATCAATTAATGAGTAACAATACTATTATCAATAAACATGTATATATTGCAAAAATAAAATGATGAGATAGAAATTAATTTTTGCATTGATTATTATTATTATAATATTTGCTTTTTTTTTTTTTTTTGAATATAGATTTCAGCCACATAAGTACAATTATCATTATCATTTCCCTGAATGTTTGTTTAACAGTTCGTCATCATAATCTTCTTCTTCCCTCGTTCTTGTTTGATTATATATAATGCTTTCATAAAGGTTCTTTAAAATCAGCCATCTCTCCAAGGAATGGAATTTGGTCTAATTTATCAATAGTATGGTCAATATTATCTTTTTGTGAAATGTGATGTTGTCATCTGATTTTAGTTCTGCTAACCTGATTATAACATGTTAAATTCTTTAAGAACTTGCTTAAGATGTAATTTAATTGGTATATTATTTTTAGAATTAAGTTTTTTTTCAAGTGTTGTCCAACTCCTAAACTTCTTAACTATTTGACCATCTTTATCATTTTCTTCTTTAATTAATTGATCCTAACCAGTCTGTAACGACTATATATAGATTTCAACTTTTGCTTTGAACTCTTGAAGTGAATTCACAGTTTCTCAATTGTGGTGTTTTGTTTTTTGATGAATTCAGGAATTTCTTCTAATAAAAAAACTATATCTATGCCACCTTTATTAATGTTTTGATCCATAAATTCCACATCATATTTTAAATTTTCTAAATTATAAGATAGTGCCATGAATCCATTAACACCATAGCATACATAAATATATATAAATATGAATATGAATTGGAAATAATGATATTGTTAAGGTCAATCAAATGATTAAAACAAACTTACTGGTTTTAAGAGGTTTAGGATTTTGAAATAAATGGATTGGTACATCAAGAAAAATTAACTAAATATATGTTATACCTGTATGAAAGACAACAATCCTAACAGGAGATGATGATGCTTTAAGAAATATTGAGAATTTATACTAATACTAATTATGAAAAAATTGTACAACACAGTTCTAGAAAATTTATATAAAAAAAAAGATGCCCTTTGATAATAAAAAACCATCACAAAATTTGGTCGAAATTGCAAAACAGGTAAGTTCATTATAATAATAATATCAAGCTCTAAATGGATAAATGAATTCAATTTGCTTTAACAATTTTATATAAAAATCTTTTTAAAGGCCAATAATGTAATTGGATTCCTTGGTTCTCCTACTCTAATCTATAATAATGAACAGTAAGGTTTTTTTTTTAAAAAAAACCTGTTGAATTTCCAACCTTTTAAATTTATCACTAAATTACATTTGAATTTCATAGCATTAATGTGATCATTGAACACTATAATATTTCAAATCTGCCAATGGATTTACAAAAATGGACTTTTGAATTAGTAAAATCAAATATAAAAAAAATGTAGGCATTCCTTTCATAATTAATGAATAAAATTAATAATAGTATTTAGAATGCATTTATTTTATCTAAAATAAAAGCAAGTTATGAAAATTCAAACTTTGGTTGGAATTCAAGAGAAAAACTTCAAGAAATGCATGAAACTGGTGCAAATTATCTGATTGCCAGAAATACACAAAAAAGAATAAATAATGATAGCAGTGTATTTGGAAAAGATTCAAATAACATAGATAATAATGATACACCTATTGGATTTTTGTTATTCCAATTTACTTGGGAAGAAACAATGGCTGATGATAAACAAATTGAAGTTATATATTGGCAAGTTTAATTTTTGGACTTATTTCATGCAATTACATACACAATAACAAACACATACATACACGCATGTAGTTTCAAGTTATATTAATAATAAATTGTTTAAACAAATGTATAGTTATGAACTCCAATTAGAAAAAGAAGCTAGAGGAAAAGGATTAGGAAACTTTTTGATGAGAACAATGGAATCTATTGGAAAATATTGGGGAATGAAAAAAAGCATGTTGACTTGTTTTCAAGGTAATAACAATAATTATTACATATAATAATGATGAGTCAAAATAATTGTTGATAACAATTTATTGTTTTAAAGAAAATAAGATGGCATTGAATTTTTATTGTAATCATCTTGGGTGAGTGAGCTATATTTTTTTCAAATGATATTTTTGTTTGTTTTTTTTTTTTAATTTCAAAGAATTTTATTATTAGTTATGAGATAGATGAAATATCTCCTAGTAAATGTTTAGAACCAGAAGAAGCCGAAAAATATGATTATGATATATTAAGCAAAACATTATGATTCAATAAATACACATGTGTATGTTGTGTGTGTAAGTAATGTTTAGGATAAATGATGACTGTTAAAATAAAATTTAGAAAAGAAATATTATTTTTTTCAATTTTCACTTGATAAGTTGACAAATGAAAAGAAACAATGATTTCAAAAATCGTCTCTCATTTATTTTTTTACTATCTATTGTAATACATTATATACATGCTGATCTTTTTGATATATATTTCTGTTATTATGAATGTAACAGTTTATAATGAATTTTTTTATAAATTAACTTCTGCAATATATTGTGTTAATGCTGATTGCCTTTCAACTAACTTGAAAGGAATTGCATATTCGTCCAATAAAGTTTTTGCTCCGAAAATTTGTTGATTGAGTAGTGATGTTGATTCGATTTTATTTGGCAAACTCCGAGAGGCTGCTCTAAAATTGTAATCATCATCTGGGATTTTTAGTATATCTTGTAGAATGTCATATTGTATTTGTGCAATCTTTAATTCTGAATGATATTTTTGTAATATATCAAATATGTTTTCATCTAGATTCAATTCTTTTATACTTTCAACTAATCCAACTGCATGACATAAATAATGCAGTCTATCCTGTAATGATATATCATTCCCAGGCTTTAGTGCCAAGAATTCTTGAACATTGGCTGCTTTGAGATATTCATGATGTTTTGCACAGAAATCACAATATAATTCTAATTTTCTTCTTGAAATAATTGATAATGGTGATGACTGATCATCATCAATTGATGTAAAATATTCTTCAAGGAATGGTGCAGGCGGATCAAAAAGCAATTGCATCGAATTTGTTATCAAGAATTCATCATATAAAGCAAAAAGAAAATCCTTGTCATTTAATGATGTGGCAAGATTAAGAGTTTTTTGAAGAAGTAGATTATATTTTTGTAATTGTGGTGAAGAAGTTGTGAAGGTGATAGAGTCGGCAAAAACATCTGCATCTCTTAATGTCTTTATAAGAATTTCAATAATTGAAGTTTTTTTATCAGGTTCTGAATTTAAAGTTTGTGCTGCTTTTAATAATAGTTCTAATGCACCTTCATAAAATCCTAGGTTTTTATATTCTTGACACAAATTAATCAGATTCCCATATGTTAAGACATTAATAGAGTCATTAAATAATTTAAGAGAATTTTTCAATGCATTATCTTTGGAAAGTTCATTTTCACTTTTTTTTGCTTTTTGAAGAGCCTCATAACCTCGATACATTTTTGCTTCAGAAGCATTAAAAAAAGTAGAACATCTAATTTCCAAATTTCTGGTGAGATTTTCGTGTAAACTGCTTTCTTTTTTAATGATCACCAACACCAAATCATGCCAACTATTTCTTACTTGTTGAGCAGTCACTAGATCTTCATAAGTTGAATCAAATAATAATTTTTTTGAACTTTCTGAAATGTTGGTGATTATATCAGATAAATCATATTCAAACATTAATAATACAAATGAAATTGCATCAGCCATTATAATCATCAAATTAAATAGAATAGCTATTGGATTATTTTGTGCAGTAGTAGTTGTTGTTGCTGAAAAAGAAGCAGAAGTGTTGATTTGAGATGACAATGTTATATAATCAAAATGATTATGGAAAAATGCTTTTAATTTTATTAATTTTTGATGCACATCATTAAGAACTTCTGATGTCACATTTAGATCTATTTTTCCTTCAATAGCACCAGAACTTGTAGATTTCACTAGAGACTTTTTAAGAATCCTTTGATTCCAAACAGGCCTCAGAATTCTTGATAGACAGAATGCCAAAGCTTCTTGTAATTGAGAAGAGTTTTCTTTGAAATTTTGTAGAAATTGGTGACTTTGATCATTTCCTATTAAAAAACACATTGCACATGTTTGTTCAAGACCATGATTTCTAATAAAATCCTTTAAAAGATTTTGTTGATTTTTCAATAGTATTTCTTTCAAATGTTCAACAGGTCTTTTTTTAACCCAAATTTGAATTCCTGCTGATGTATATATAAGAAATTTTCTTTGGGGAAGAATGAATTGACCAATTAAGTCATTTGAGTATTCAATGAAATTTTTTGGATTATAATTAAAATGATGGATTTCTTCCATGGCATAAATATTTCTAAAAGTGACTGAGAAATAGTATTCTGAAAATGTAGGATCCTTGTTCTGAATAAATTTTAGAAACATTGCACCATGATTTGGAGAAGTGTAAGTTAAGTAGTATGATGAATTGTTTCTATTTAAAGCAAAATAATTCCCATGAAAATAATTAAAGCTTTGATAAACTTTTTGATGCTGCTGAAGTCCATGTGGCAGCTGGTGCACTTCCACCAAGAATAAACCATTTGGTTCTGTTGATTTTTGTGAATCAGGATGCAATCTACTAAAATCTCTATGACATGTAAAATAACCACGATAACCTACACTAGTGACAGCCATCAACCAAAAATAATGTGAATTGGTATTATATGTTGGATGTATTGAAACAAGTTTACCTTTAAGTGATGGACCACCACTAACAGCATCCTTTAATGAATAAGAACCTACAGACTTTAAAGTTTTGCCATCATCTAACATATGATAAGCTTCAATGCGATTGGTAGACATGGCATAAACCATCTTGTGAGTATCATCAACAATACAAGATTTAAAATTAGAAAACCCACCATTAACAAATCTTAGTGTTGAACTAATAAGATTGAGAGAGTGAATTTCTAATCTGCAGGGTTTATTGAACCACCCCTCATCATCATAAATCAATTCACACAATTCACCATCATCTATCAAAAAAATTCTACCATTGTCAGTACCAACTATTGAATCGATTGATCTTCCACTATAATCAGATATGTATTTTAATGAAGACATGTCATGAAAAGTTATTTCCTCATTGTTCTTTGTAACGCTCAATCCAAACACATATACTGATTTGTCTGTTGCTATCACTAGTACATATTGAGCATTATCAACCCAACGACCAGGTCTAGGCTTGACAAGGCCCACACTTTTTATTTTCTTGTCTTGTTGTGGATGAATATCTATATGACCAATGGCTGCTTCATTGTTACTATTACTATTTTCATAATCCCAAATAAATAAATTATAGTCGAGAACAAAATATACAAATTTTGTATAAGGGAAACATCCGAATAAACAGTGTACATCGACATTTTGTTGAATGTTTTCCCAATCCACGATCTCTTGCAAACGTAATGGAAAAGGGATCCGTTTTTCTTGTGTGAAGGGAAATAATTCCTCCTGACTAATATCTTTATAACGATCTTGTGCAGTCCTTTCAGATACTTGTTTAAATAAAGTTTCTAAATATTTATTGTCTATATTAATTTTTGAATTGATTAAATCCTTTGCCGACATTGTTAATGATGATGATAAAAATTTTTCGCGTGTGTAAAATAAAAATGATTTTAAAAATTGTCCAATGACGATCCTAATTTTCATTTTTCAACTAGTTGATACATCATTTTATAGTAATAGGGAAAAACAAAATTACAATATATCTTGGAACCTCTCTCCAATAAGGAAGTAAATAAAATAATTCGATTTCAGCTATAATTTTTACCATCTCATTACTAAATAGACCAATTAACAAACCCACAAGTCACAACTATAAATGAGAATATAAACTATTAATATTGCCAAGTAAAATCCAAATACTTCATTATCACCTTTCAAAAAAAAATTTTTGAATAAATTATTATAATTACACATAAACATACTGATGATTTTTTACCTCTAAGGAAATTATACATTGCTATAGTGCAGGACACCTAGTCCCTACAACTTTCTGCGCCACAGCAACAGATTTGGGAAAAATTTCCCAATAAAAAAATGCAATAAAATTTTTACGGTCACGTGTTTTGTGAAGATTGTCAAAAATAGGTTCTTATTAATATAATGATTGATTTTATTAGATAATTAATCTGTTTTTTAAAGTAACAATTATATATATATATGTGTGTGTGTGTGTGTGTCACGTGATAAAAGATCTGCAATACAGCTTTCAAAATTTTCTATTCTTCCAATTCGTTCATTTTTAATATAAAAAATTTGCGCGTAACACGTCACTTTGGGGATTAACATAGTAAATTTGTTAAACTTGTGCAAACTTTAAGGCTTAATTCTCCATAACAACATGACATATCAACAAAATGAAAATGTCATTTTGTAGAGAAAAGTCTTAGCTTCAAAATGACATCTTGTTTTATTGGTCACACATTTCCATTTTTGGAGATGTTAAAGGATCTGCAAGACCAATAAAAGTTGTAGGACTAGATGTCCTGCACTATAGTATTGAAGGAAATTATGAAAACATATTGGGTAGAATCATCAGGTTGTTGAACAAAATGGAGCATGCTGCAACAAAACTGGACAAAGTGAATATTTTCATTTTGTATTACCAAGAATTACAGGGACCAAATTAGTGTAATTGTGATGAACAAGCTTATTATTACAGTATTACACAGTTAATGTTAATCCCTCTATGAAAATGTGATTAATTGGTGATTGGCCATACAAATATATAAAAGATGGGGGAAAAGTAAGCACCACTTATAGATTTTGATTAGTCTATAATTGCTGATAATGGTATTCCATGAATTATAAAAATACTCATTATAAATAATACTTCTGTTCTATAAATAATATTAATGAGGATCACATGCATTGTAAAATGATCTTGTTGATAGTTTCTAAATTGAGGTTAATATGAATGTAAAGGATATATTTAGAAGGTTATGATGTATGATTTTATGCTTAACTATATTTGAATCTGAGTGCTGTTATATCTTATAGATATTTCCCTATTACCCAGATCTGAGGAGAGCTTAGCAAAGTGAAGTTTACTGGCAATCTAGAATAGGATTATCACTTACTTTAGTCTTGTCTTTATGACCTTGACATTAATAGTAGGGCTTTTTGATTTATAATAATTGGGGCATACTACAACAAAACCAGACAAAGTGAACATGATGACACAAATTATAGGGATTG